ATGCAGTGTCACCAGGTCAGAGGAGGCAGGAGCATCATCAGTTGGGATGTTAGGGAAGACCTCAAGGTGCAGGTACCATTTAAAATGAACTTGAAAAGAGTTGAAGGGAGGACATTCTCGGCAGAAGACAGCATCTTACGAGGCAAGGAGGTGGGAAGCCATGATGTGGTTGGATGAAATAGTGCTCTTCTGGTTTGAAGGAAGTGCAGAATACTGGAAGATAAGGCCAAGCTAGATTGAAAAGCCAGGTTAGGAAGATCAGTTTGCTTATGAAAGAAAAGTCTTTTAAAGAAAGCTTTACAGCATGAGTGTGAAGGCCTAAAGCTAGATTTTAGAAAGATTAAGCAATGCAGTATGTCAGTCCCAAGTCTAGGACCCTGAGAGAATGCTGGTACCATGGACAGGAAATAGGATACCAGGAGGAAGTGACTGGTTTACCCTCCTCCATTTGTATTTAGTGTATTTAATTTGAAGAACTATGGAAATGCAGAACTGGACTTTGGGAGAAGGAGCAGGAGAGATTATATCAGTCAGTCCATTACAAACATAAGTGAAGGTGTGATATAGCAAGATTGCCAAGAGGTGAGTCTGTAAGAGAAGAGGGCCAAAGACAGACCTCAGGGGTGTAAACATCTAGCTAGCAGGTAGTACAGAGAAGTCAGTGGGAAGCAGAGGAGGAGCAGTAAGCAAAATAGTGGGAAAAGCAGCAGAATTCAGTGTTTGGGCGTAAAAGGAGAGAATTTCAGAAAGCTAAATGATTTATTCAATTGTAAACTCCCTGAGAGCGGGCTAGATTACCTACTTATTTCAATATTTCCCCAGAATAGATGTAGTAGAGTATTGCACACATTCTTGGTGTCCAGTAAATGTTAAAGGTCTGTAATATGCAATGCTATTCAATGTTTGAGGAGACCATTCGTTTTCATGATTAGGACATCCTGGTTATTGTTCTTGTGTGCTTCCAGCCTTTCTGTTTTAAAGAAAATAAAGGACAAAGACCGTGTCTGAATCAAAGATTAAGGAACATACATTGTCTCTAGGCACGTGTTCTGCTGGACCACGTATGCAAAAATGTCTGGTTTCCTCTTATTTGTGACTCAGCACTCTGCGTGTTCGCGTGAACGTATGGTTGCGAATGTGTGTGACAGCAGGAGGTGGAGGCCACCAAGATGTCCATCTGTGGAGAAGAGATGAGCCCATGCAACGGAGGTATGTGCAATGAGAGTAACATCTGTCGGCACCCTTGTACTAGATGCACAGAGGGTACTACAGCTGTACCTTGTAGCCATCACATCAAGTGGAGAGAAGAGAAGAATCCTAGCGTAATAACACCTATGTAAATACAAACACATACACTGTTCAACATAACACAAGGGTACATACATGGCCAAAGGCATTCATTAGAGTGGGCATCTCCTGGGGCAAGAGAGAGAATAAATGTGAGAATCAGGGTGAATGGGGAAAAAAGAATAAAACAAAAAGAAGGACCTTGAAAAGATCAATGATGAGGTATGTGATGATTCATACTTTGTGGTGGATATCAAAAGCAAAAAGGGCATATGTGATGGATGCTTTTTTTTTTGCATCATGATAAATGTGCTCTTTAATCCTCATCCCCTATTTTACCCATCCCCCAACACATCTCTGCTCTGGTAACAGTTTGTTCTCTATAGTTGAGTCCGCTTCTTGGTTTGTCTTTCTCCTTTGCTCATTTCTTAAATTCTACAAATGAGTGAGATCATATGGTGTCTTTCTCTGATTTTGCTTAGCATAATATTCTCTAGCTCTATCCATGTTGTTGCAAATGCTGAGATTTTATTCTTTTTATGGCTGAATTATATTCAACAATACACTATACTATAGTATTGTGTATATACTGTATACACATGCTATATGCATAGTGTATTATTGAATATAAATATTGTGTATATATTGAACGTATATTCAATATAAAGTCTTTGCCAATTTGGATGTCTCACATCTTCTTTATCCATTCATCTATTGATGAACACTTGGGCTGCTTCCATAGTTTGACTATCGTAAATAAAGCTGCACTAAACATGGGGCGCCTGGGTGGCGCAGTCGGTTAAGCGTCCGACTTCAGCCAGGTCACGATCTCGCGGTCCGTGGGTTTGAGCCCCGCGTCGGGCTCTGGGCTGATGGCTCAGAGCCTGGAGCCTGTTTCCGATTCTGTGTCTCCCTCTCTCTCTGCCCCTCCCCTGTTCATGCTCTGTCTCTCTCTGTCCCAAAAATAAATAAACGTTGAAAAAAAAAATTTTAAAAAAAAGCTGCACTAAACAAAAGGGTGCATGTATCTTTTCAAAAATAGTGTTTTTGTGTTCTTTGGGTAAATACCCAAGAGTGAAATTATTGGATCATATGGTATTTCTATTTTTAATTTCTGGAGGAACTTCCATACTGTTTTACACAGTGGTTGTGCCAATTTACATTCCTACTAATAGTGCATAAGTGTTCCATATTCTCCACATCTTTGCCAACACTTGTTTCTTGTGTTTTTGATGTTACTCATTCTGACAGGTATAAGGCGATGTCTCATTGTGGTTTTGATTTGCATTTCCCGATGATTTGTGATGTTGAGTATCTAAGTGTCTGTTGTCCATCCGTAACTCTTCTTTAGAGAAATGTCTGTCCATGTCTTCTACCCATTTTTAAACTGGATTACTTGCTTTTTGGGTGGTGAGTTGTATCAGCTCTTTATAGATTTTAGAACCCTTTATTGGATATGTCATTTATAAGTATCTTTTCCCCTTCAGTGGGTTGCCTGTTTTCTTGATTGTGTCCTTCATTGTACAGAAACTTTTTATTTTGATGAAGTCTCAAAAGTTTATTTTTGCTTTACTTTGCTTGCTTCAGATGTGCCTAGAAAAATGTTGCTATGGTCAGTGCCAGAGTGATTACTGCCTGTGCTCTCCTCTAGGATTTGTATGGTTTCAGGTCTCACATTTAGTGAGTTTATTTTTGTGTATGGTGAAAAAGTGGTCCAGTTTCATTCTTTTGCATGTGACTGTCCAGTTTTCCCAACATCATTTGTTGAAGAGACTTTTTTCCATTGTATATTCATTTTTCCTTTATTGAAGATTGACTAACTTGTGTACTTTATTTATTTCTGGGTTTTCTGTCCTATTTCACTGATCCATTTGTCTATTTTTGTGCCAGTACCATACTGTTTATACTACTGCTTTGTAATGTAACTTGAAATCTGGAGTTGTGATCTCTCTAGTTTTTTTCTTTTTCAAGACTGCTTTGGCTGTTCAAGGTCTTTTGTGGCTCCATGTAAATTTTGGGATTGTATGTTCTAGTCTGTGAAAAATGCTATTGGTATTTTGATGGGGACTGCATTAAACCTGTAGACTGCTTTGGGTAGTATGGACACTTTAACGATTATTCTTCCACCCCACGAACATGGAAGTTCTGTTCTTTTGCATTGTCTTGAATTTCTTTTATCAGTGTTTTACAGTTCTCAGAGTACAAGTCTTTTGCCTCTTTGGTTAAGTTCATTCCTAGATATTTTATTGTTTTGGTGGAATTATAAATGGGATTGTTTTCTTAATTTCACTTTCTGCTGAACTCAGTGTATAGGAATGCAACAGATTTCTGTATATTGATTTTGCATGCTGTGACTTTACTGATTTATCAGTTCTAGTAATTTTTTGGTGGAGTCTTTAGAGTTTTGTATATATAGTGTCATATAACCTGCACATAATGAGAGTTATATTTTTTCTTTACCAATTTGGATGCCTTCCATTTCTGTATATAGTCTAATTGCTGCGGCTAAGACTTCCAGTACTATGTTGAGAAAAGTGGTGAGGGTGGACATCTTTGCCTTATTCCTGACCTTAGGGGAAAAGCACTCAGTTTTCCACCATTGAGGATGATGTTGACTGTGGGTTTTCCATATAAGGCCTTTACAACATTGAGCTAGGTTCCCTGTAGACCTACTCTGCAGAGGATTTTTTTTATTATGAATGGATGTTGTACTTTGTCTAATGCTTTTTTGGCATCTATGATATATGATTTTTATCCTTTCTCTTATTGATGTGATGTGTCATGTTGGCTGTTCTGCAAATATCGAACAACTCTTGCATCCTGGCAATAAATCCCACTTGATAGTAGTATATGATTTTTTAAAAAATGTATTGTTGGATTCGGGTTGCTAACATTTTGCTGAGGATTTTTGCATCTATGTTCATCAGATATATTGGACTATAGTTTTTTTTTTGTAGTGTGTTTCTCTATTTCCATATGTGATGGAAGCATTTTTATAAATCTCAAACTAATTGCAATAAAAAGCTCACACAATTATCAGTGAGGTGACTATATAGGCTTTACATTTATTATGATTGATTATTAGCAAACCAAAAATACAGAAATAACATATACTATCTATATCCATAGTAAAACCCATGCATATCATAAGGTCTATTTGAATCCCAACTCAGAGTGACATCAGGTTTGTTAGGAGCAACAAGAAGGGTGTGGCAATTTCTTATAGTTGGAACAGAGGACACAGGGTTCCACACACAGGTTCTTCCAACACCAAAAACACGTACCTGAATGGTATAATCTAATATTTTATTATATGATGTACTTGTACATCATATAATAGGTAATCAGGTGATATGAATATTATACAATTATCAAGCAGGAATCCAGTATTAACATTTGTGTTACATTTAACAGTTGCATTTACTTCTTATTAAAATTTGTGTTCTACCAAATTAGTTTTCTACCCATTCAAATAATGAGTGAAGTGCAACTTGAACTTGCTAGCAAAGACATTCTCTATACATAGTAACTGGCATAAAATATGAAAAGAGAGAAAGATGTAGTTTCTTTACAAAGAATGCAGGAACCACCATTTTGCAAATCATGAAATCATAATCCTATTTCTACTTTTTCCTCACTCTTTCCAAACTGGAAATGAGACCCAATAGGGTCCTGCAAACCACCGCCCCCACGATAGGAAGCCCCGTTGCAGGCTAAGGGCAGTGTGTTTTTGCCTTTACTGCTTTCAACACAGAATTCCATTTGCTATTCCTTTGTTCTAACTGCTCTTTTTTAAACCTGTCTTGAAAAGAATGATGGTTGTCTTCATCCTCTGTCTCAGAGATGATTTCCATCTTCTGAATGATGAGTTTAATAAGCTCATGCTGTTTCTCCACAAGAGAAGTGAGATCCTTCAGCCTAAAAGGATATACAGGGCTCATGAACTTGTTTTCAGTTATCTTCTCAGTCTCTGAGTGCAGGAAGGCCCAGGTTACTAGAAGTGTCCTAGATCAGATGAGCTGTGCTCAGGTCACAGCATCCTGGTACTTATAATCTTTGCAAGCAATACATATTTTTAAAAAATATTTTAATGTTTATTTTTTGGGAGAGCGCACACGAGCAGGGAAGAGGCAGAGAGAGAGGGAGACACAGAATGCAAAGCAGGCTCCAGGCTCTGAGCTGTCCTCACAGAGCTGGACATGGGGCTTGAACTCATGAACCAGAGATCATGACCTGAGCCAAAGTCGGATGCTCAACTGACTGAGCCACCCAGGGGCCCCAGCAATACATATTTTTTAAGTTTAAGTGTTTTTCCTAGTTTATTTTTGCTCCCATTTTAAAGATTAAAACACAGTTGCACAGAAAGATGAAACTGCTTTGCCCAGGTCAGTGCATTAGGAAGTAGTTGAAGAGGGCCTTAAACTCAGATCAGTTGATTCTAAAGCCCTCATGCTCAACCACTGCACACTCTATACAGCTTCTCTTGGAATTCTCCAAAGCTTTCAAAGCTTTGATGTATGAATCCGGATGGATCATGGGAATGTGGTTTAAAACACTAATTGGCAAACTGGTGAATTGCAGCACATAAGTTGTTGGGTCTAAAAATGATTTTCAAATGATTCTCAATATGCTATGACATCAGTCAATTAAAAGTACGACTTAATATGTGAAATAAACACAACTATACAACATAACCTTACATCATTATTTAAAAGTTTTATCAAATACAGATAAGGAAAAATACATACCGATATTTCTGCTTCAATATTTCTGTTTCCAGAGATGTGTCAACATTTGGAATTTCCTGCCTTTCTTCTTGGGCATAAAAAATAAAATGAAATATAGCCTGCGGGATAAAAGATTAATTATTACTCAGGTTGAACTCAATTCAGAAACTATTTCTTGCACATGTGCCATGATTCAGCTACTGAGCCAGGTACGATCACACCACAGATATTCTAAGACACGACTATGACCCTCAAGGCGCTCACAGTCTTTTGAGAGAAATAGACGTATATAGAGCTATACCACAAACTCATACATAATTATAATAAAGGGAAGTATGAGATGTACAGATAATCTAGAAGAAGGAGAAAATTGGAGTGGTGGATTATTTATGAAAAGGTAAAACTGAATCATTTTATATTTTCTCATGAAAAATGTCCATCGTCAGTGGTATTCCACACAGGATTAGTTCTTTCTCTAAAACTGCTCTGCACAACTGAATTTCCCATGAGGAAATTTCAGAAATGCCATTTTAATGTGTGTTTTCAAAATTTAGTGTTTTTTAAACCACTGGTAGACTGGAAAGCATTAAGGGCGGACGTGAAATGACCAGGAATCAATGAGTCAATCCTAGGAGTCCATGGAAGAGAAGATGGCAACTTGCACAGGCCAACCAGGAAGACTGATCAACCAAACAAGGGAGTGACTGGGTGTGAGGGGTGAGGAGAGGGAAAGGAGGTCAAGGATGACCTCTTGCACAGGCAAATGAATGGTGGTGATGTTAACTGAAGCAAGAAACTTTGGAGAGAGGAGGCTCTGTCATTCTTTCCCTGCAGGGAGACTGAAACCTGGGAGGAGTGAAAACTGTGAGTTCCTTTTGAAGAGTTTATTCTGAATATGCTGAATTTGAGGTACCTTTGAGCCATACCAGTGAAGATGTCAGGTAGACAGTTGGACAGAAGAGCCTGGAACTCAAAGAGAGCTCCCGGAAGAATGAATTGCCAAGCCTTCTGTGTTTCAGGAGTGAGTAGTTGCAAACACGGGTATGAACAACATTATACAGGGAGCTAGTGTAGTTAGAATAAGGCCTAGGCCAATACCCAAATCAACTTTATCATTTTATGACCACAGCATGGAAAATTAACATGCAAAGAACTCAGAATGTTCATAGAACTAGGAGGAAGCCCAGGCATGATCAGGATTAGCATCCAGTACTTCTGACTCTCAATACAGTCCCTTTATCATTATAATGCAGTGGCCTTGTTTAGTCTTTGATATCTAGTGTATTTTCTATAATGCACACTCTCCATGCGCATGTGTGTGCATATATGTACCTGAATGTACATATGTGCTCTATATTTTCACATAGACACACACATATTTGCACATGCATATAAATGATAGGTGACTGGGAAAAACAAGAAAGGTACACCTGCACTTTAAAAAAAGATACTTACAAGGTACAGTCAGTCCACCCACCCACCCATGTGCTCTCACAGGGATGTGGTACATGTTTAACACTGATGCTGTGAATGAGCCACTAGGAAGAAGGAGCACAGGTCTCCCTCCCACTGCCCATTGCTTTTCACACTGTTGGGTAATCATGCACTTTGTTGTTTTTTTTAAGTCACAATTCCTTCTTTTCCACAGGCACAGTGACTCAAAGTCTATAGAAGGGTACCCTTAAGGATAACACAACGAGTGAATGTCAAGCAGCAGCACATTCTCCACGCTGGTATTTTTCACATGTACTTACTAATAACCCTGTACATCTGGGTCTGTTGGGATACACGATGATGGATTTCTGATCTACTTTGCGTAGGAACCACAGTGGCAGCTTCTTCTCTAAGCTGGTATGAAGTTCCACCTAAAGCGCATTTTGGATTTATTGAGAGAAATGGTTAAGAAGTATCTAGAATCCTTACACTACACAGAGACAGCGATGAGTACAGTAAACTGAAAAACGACTCCTGTGTCCTGCCTTACGCCACGCAGCTGGGCTGGCCAGGTTTCCCATCTCTCCTCTCAATCACCGACAAGACAGGGGCAGCAATATGCAGTTGGGGCAAATTGTTTAAAGAAGAAGTTCAACTCAAGTGAGCAGCTGTTCACTGTTCAGGGACTATGACTGACACTGGGCCCATAAGAAAAAGCCTTCGTCCATCCCCTCGGGTGTTAACAGAAAATGTGCACGACTGCGCAGTGTGCTGGTATGAAGGCGCGCCTGTGGCAGGACAGGAAATGGTGCTTCCATGGAGGAAAACAGTGGTAAGCACTGAAAGGATTACAACCGGCACACCTAAGAGTACTTCATCGACGTTTCACCCTGTGCGATCTGGTGCAAAATGGGTTATCCATGCTGTATCTTGACTACAATTTTTTTTTTTATGTTTATTTTTGAGATAGGACAAAGTGTGAATGGGGGAGGGGCAGAGAGAGACACAGAATCTGAAATAGGTTCCAGGCTCTGAGCTGTCAGCACAGAGCCTGCTCTGGGGCTGGAACTCAGGAACCATCATGAGCTAGGCCGAAGTCGGACGCTTAACTGACTGAACCACCCAGGTGCCCCATATCTTGACTACAGTTTCTATTTTCAGAGATAACAATCCTTTGTCTCATTTAATGGATTTACCTTGAGTTGATAGTTTCTCATATTTTCAACTTTTTGTTTACCAAATTTGTCTTCCACTCTTTTTTTATAGCCCTTTGTGTCTCTTGTTTAGAATGGTTTATTGTAATTACCATATAGATGAGAGTTTGCTAAGACCATAGGCTTTTTTATATGTGGGTATTTAAGTGGCTTCCATCCACAAATGGTGAGATGTTTAAAGCTTTGGGCCCCTCTTCCACATATTGCTTCCCTATTTTTGTAGCACTTACCACCACATAACATGCTATATATTAGTTCCAGTTTCAAGAGAAGCTATGTTTTCTTGTATTTTATTAATAATACCAATTAGATGTTTGAGTTTCTATAATAACTTCCAAGGTTCCTTTTCCCCTTGGGTCTTAAGGTCAATATTCCTTTCCCTTTGCAATAACATTTTTTTCAGAGGTCACATGTTATCATTCACTTATTTAAACTTCACTGAAAAAGATTTATTCAAGCCTGGTGTTTGCCAACAGATCAAGCACATGTTTTGTCTTAACCTTATTTGTTTTCCACATAGGACCTGCCAGATATTCTCTCTCAGGGTCCTGGGGAGGATGGCAAGCAGCCCCCCTTGGTGGGTCTAGTGGGACCCATTGCCCATGGCTTCTCTGGGCTCAGGGAGCATCTCCACCTTCTCTAACTGGCAGGTTTTCCGTGTTGAAGGTAAGAGCACTCTGTGCATTTCCTTTTGTGATTTGCGGCCTGGACGTGAACATCTGTGGAGTGTCTACAGCTGCCAGCCTGTGCTGGACGTGTGGTCACCAAATGTTAAAAACTAAACAGCTCTAAGCCCCTCACAATACTCACAACTCCTGTCCCTGTGTAACTGTTAGACCTCCCAGCATGTGCTGTCCCCACTTAGGTCTGAGACGACTCTGTGAGAAGACGAATGTCTCTCTCTGTGACACGTGCTGCTGCCTGTCCCCTTATGCCCTCGTTCTGATGCGGCCTCAGACTTAGGTTATAAGTCTGACATAGAGAGTTGTACATGGATGTAGAGATTTGCTTTAAAAAAACTCAGAGAACTAAGAGAATGGCTTCCTGGTTTTCCAGTCAATGCTCTTTGTGATCCAAAACAAGAACCGCTAACACGGGAGTACTTGCTTTGCCGTTTACTTTATAGGCCTTTGTGCCGTCGTGTTTCAGGGGAGAGATCAACTCTGATATAGAATTGTGCTTTTCAAATCATCCGCACTGAAACTGCAGTTTAGTGGCTCTCCCCTAGACATCTAGTGCTGTTGCTTATATTGTTCTTCCTTGATCTTTTCAGGAATTACTAGTTATGAAGTAATGACATGTCTGTGAAGAGGCCTTTTTGCATCTCTTTTCCTCTCTTCATCCACCTACCTGGAGTCCTACACTCCATCTTTGTTGTGGTAATAACTGGTCAGTTGGCTCTTCCTTCCTCTGAACTTTCCCCGCTAAGGTGATAATAGATCATCTTACGTACTACTCCCATTTTGTTCCCATTCTTTGGAAGAGCTGGTAATGACTTCCCACTAACAAAATTACTTGGAGCACTTCACCCTTTACTGCCCTATCTTTCAAAGCTAAGGTTTTCCTCGTTTGTTAGCTCTTTTTTTTTTTTTTTTCCAAACGTTTATTTATTTTTGGGACAGAGAGAGACAGAGCATGAACGGGGGAGGGGCAGAGAGAGAGGGAGACACAGAATCGGAAACAGGCTCCAGGCTCTGAGCCATCAGCCCAGAGCCCGACGCGGGGCTCGAACTCACGGACCGCGAGATCGTGACCTGGCTGAAGTCGGACGCTTAACCGACTGCGCCACCCAGGCGCCCCTGTTAGCTCTTTTTTTAATAAAGCGCTCTATCATCTTGGGCCACCTTAATACTCTCTAAGGAGCCATCCCTCCAGGCCAGGGGCCCTTCACCCTTCCTTAGCCATTTCTCCTTGTTCCGCCTTTAGCCCATTGCTCCTGCTGGGTCCTGCCTTTCTGGACCAGTCTTGCTGTTCCTCTAAATCCCATCTTTCAACATCTGGTTCACGTGCCAACCCTTCCATGTAGCATTTCCATAACTGTTTATTTTCTGTACCTAATATTTTAACCATTTAATTTATGTACTTTTGTTCTTTAAATGTGCCAAGTCCTCTGCATAATACGCAGCTTAGTCACAGAGCATAGAGTTTAAGGATGGTTCTAAGTTGATTTTGAGATTTTAAACTCTGACTGTTTAATTGGTGTGCTCTCCAGTTAGACTTATTTTACTTAGTGAAGTCAAAGGTCACACAGGCCTTTAACTCCTCTGGGTTCTCATGGTCAGTTGTACTGTGCACATACCACGTACTGGAGCATTTTTTAGAAATAAATATGTGCTGACGTATAGCAGAATGAGTAACAGAGAAGAATGAAGCGTGACAAAGAACAGTGAAGAGTGAGGGGAGAGTTACCTCTTAACATGAATTTGTCTTTCTCTTGAACTTGCCTAAGTTTTTTAATATGTACGTTCAACTGGTCATCAGGTATTTTTGAAGCATCAGATATTCCCGTTCAAATCTGATAAACACAATGCAAATGAGAGCATAGAAATAGTTTTGCATTGTGTAACAGGAACCACCTCACAAGATTCAGTAGCCAAGGAAAAATGTAAGGGAGGTCACAAAAGAACAAAACCTCATGGATGCAGTGAACACTTCAATATAACACGTTATGTGGGAAGCTTGCAGTGCGATGGTCAGAGTATCAAGGGGTCCTAGGAAGAGCTGGGCTGTGACAGGACAGAATACCTCACACCTGCGATAATTCTTATTTAGCAGATAGCTACCTGGTTGGCTGCATGTTGACATTTTAAAAAGCTCAGGTAATGTCTCAATTTCTCTGCTCAGATTGTTCTGAGAAAATGCTGTGGTCAGAGAGTAAAAACTAATGAAAACAGGCACGCCAGAGAACGTGCACAACAAGGTACCGTATGGTGTGGTGCTTTAGGACTCACAAAGTACCTGTCTTAAATACCTGTTCTCAGAAATCAGCTATTCTTATACATGGAAAATTAGGGTGGTGCTAATTTCAATACGTTTTAAATAAACGTAAGACTTACCTGCATAGCAATCCTCTTCAACAATGCGTGCTTCTGGACTTCTGCAATGTCACCAACTGCCAACCCAATCTGAAGTACAACACAGCATTGAGTCATTGCCAATTTAATGGCGCACCTATAAATGCACTAAAGGTCTCTCTAGCTGCAGTGGGGGAGTGGGCATATAATTGCCTACTAGTGGCCTTAACATACTTTTGCCAACACATCTTACAGAAAACTGCAAAATCTGTACACCTTTGTAACACTGGTGGCCACACTGGTGGGTTCAGTAACCTTAAGTGTTATCATAAAAAATTAAGACACGTGAATCTGAAATTATTTAAAATAAAAATGTTCTTTTTGAAGAGGACAGGGGTCATATGGTATCAAATGCCATTGGGGTGGCCATGCAAATGGTTGCAGATTCCAGGAGTTTAGCATCTAGGTAAACGAGTGAGCGGACAACACAGAAAAGTTAAAATAGTAAACTGAGGCAATGCGGGAATTTATACCTTACGTATGTTTGGCAGGAAAAGGTACGCTTCAAGGGTGGGTGTGGCTTTGATTAAAAAAATAAAGCAGTAACTGTATCTAGAAATCTGTGGCCAGATAGAATTAGGTGAGGGGACGCTCACCTCTACTCAATCCAAATGAAATCGCTTACTTAAATTAGCTGACTCATATTTGTTGGATAACCAGTACCTGTCTATGCTCGACCAGCCTCCTGGATGCTGATGCTCTCAAGAAGCTCAAAGTCAAGTAAATTCCACAAGAGGGGCTCTGTTTGGGGCACCACTGGATGCCCAGTGCTTAGAACCATGCAGAGCATGTAGTAGATACACAGAATAGTCACTGAGTGAATAAGCAGCCAAGAGTATATGCTAGGGTGTGCAGACTAGCATTTAGAACTATCTACAGTCAGACACTTTATTTGGCAGGATAATGTTTATTTTTAACGCGGAAGCCTTTAGGTAGGCATTATCTCTAGTTTATATCAGCCACCATCAAAACTAATGGTCTTGGGGCACCTGAGTGGCTCAGTCGGTTGAATGTCCAACTTTGGCTCAGGTCATGATCTCCTAGTTTATGAGTTTGAGCCCTGCATTGGGCTCTCTGCTGTCAGCATGGAGCCTGCTTTGGGTTCTCTGTCTCCCTCCCTCCCTCCCTCTCTCTCTCACACACACTAAATAAATAAAATAAAAAAAATAGTCTCATACTGACTGCTTCACCCATTTAAGATACTTGCCTGAGATCTGAAGACATCTGATTTTGTGAGTCATAGAGTAGATAAGTTACTAATATTTAATAGTAGCTAACATTTACTGAGTGCTTATCATGTGCCAACCACGGTTTTGAATGCTTTACTTTTACTTGAGAAAGAGAATATAACTGGGGGAGAGGGGAAGAGGGAGAAAGAGAAGATTTTAAGCAGGCTCCATACTCAATGGGGAGCCTGATATGGGGCTCAATCCCATAACCCTGAGCTGAAATTGAGACTTGAACGATTAACCAACTGAGCTACCCAGATGTCCCTCAAATGCTTTGTATTAACTCCTTTTGTCCTAATAACCTAGGAAGTAGGTTTTATTACCTTTTTCTGATTTGTGTCCTAAAAATTTTGAGAATATGAGGAAGGGGCATCCAATTTAGATAGGATGATGCGGTGGAGGGTGTTGGTTAGGAAGGTCTACCCAGGAGATCTGATGCTTGAGAGCTGAGTGTTAACAGCTTAGAAAGAATTAACCCAAAGTGGGAAGGTCTTTGAGGAAAAGGAACAGCTTGTGTGGAGCTCAGGCACAAAGGAATGTAGGGCATGCTCAGTGAAAGTTGACGGTACATGTCTAGGCAAATCTTGCCAACAGTGGGAGGGGTGGATGAGATCTGGGTAAGACCCAGATCATGAGGATCCTTGCATGCCATGCTGATGGGTTTAGACTGAGTTGAAGAGGCATAGAAGGAAAAAAAAAAAAAAAAAAAAAAAAAAAAAAGGCCTGACAGGCCCAGCTTTTCCTTATCAGAATATCACTGTGGTGACAATTTCAGGAAAGATTAGACAGAAGTGAGAGGAGACAGACTGTTCGGGCTACTGCAGCAATATGGATGAGGAACCATGAGGGTGTAAGGCAAATGGAAGTGGGTGTAAGAGGAAAATATTTACTGGAAGAACTGAGCAAAGGGCAGGGCTGAATCTAGAGTATCTTCCAATGATCTGAGTTAGAGGACCAGGACGTGGTACTGAGAGGTGGCAGCAAAGTTTGAAGGAAAGAAAACATGGAGTCTTGGTCGGCTCTTTTGGGACTGATTTTCCTCTGGGACATGCAGGTAGAGATGGCACTAACATGTACTAATGCTAAGCCGAATCTTCTAGGTAATTATCTTCTGAAATGTCAGCAATTGTAAGAGAAGAATGTGGGCTTTATGTCATTCTTAATTATTCTTAGCGCTATCCTTTATGTTTCTAGGTCATCAAAATAAAACTCTGGATTTGTTATCAAGTAAGTGAATCAAAACATTAAGTAGTATTTTTTTTTTCTTTCCAGAAACATTGTACAGGACAATCTCTGGTGCATAGTCTCACTCAGAAAATGTATTGAATGTGTGCATATATGCATAAATAAGGAAAAAACATGCACTGTCATGTCAGCTTGGGCTCTCCATGGACCTGAGATGTACTTCTGTCTTTATTGGCTAACGTGGTCATGGCTAGAGCAGGTTCTCTGTGAAGGGCATGTTCACATCTGCTGAGGATTTTCAACCTGTAACTGGTTTAGAGATGGCATCTGAATGCCACAGATGCCCTCATGCCTGAGAGGCTCTTTGCCACTTGAATATCTGGTCGATGAGAAATTTAAGAGCAGAGATGAGGTTTAATCCTTTATTCCCCCAAGGTCTCTGCCTAACCTCTGACCCCCACCCTAACACCAGAGCAGTACACACCATTTATCTTTATTTCCTTATTCTGCTTTATAGTTCTTCATAGATAGCATTTATCACTCCCATAACATTATACTACATAGTTATTTATTTACTACCCCATGACTAGTTTATAATGTAAGGACGGGGTATTGGTCTATTCACCACTGTATCCCAGCACCTGGATCAGTGTCTAGATTATTCATAAGTATCTGCCAAGTGAATGCATCTTGGCATCCCCTGGGCTTTAGTGCTGTGTCTGGTACTAAATAAATGTTGAATGAGTGGATTTTATAATAGTCCCTAATTCCTTTCATGGAGGAAGATTAAGGAGGCTAAAAATAATGATCATTGTCAAATGCCCCAAATGATCAACAAACAGAAAACACAAGGATAAATTACTTACAAGTAAATTCATGAGCACAATTGGGACAAACATTGTGAAGGCAATAAGCTGTGCAAAAGACAGAACTGGATATACCAATTCATTTCTCAAAAATGGTTCTAGGAAGGCATCACGGTAATTAATATCTCCTAGCATCATGCTGAAGGTCTGGATTATAGAAAGCAATGGAGAGCTGAAAGCATCCTGAGAAAAGATGGTAAGGTAAAAATGCAATGCAAAACGTGTACAATGAAAAAAATGTTTTCTGAAGAGTAAAATGATAAAAATCATATTTAAAATACTCTTTTAAATCACAGGACTATGGCTAATGATAAGAACTACTAATAAATTGGTGATAAAGTCATCAAGAATATCTTTTCTACACATATAACAAATACTCATGCATTATATTTAAACTTTTTGACAATGGGAAAAAGTCATGAGGTAGGGCTGCGATAAAAATCATTTGAAGGCTATTTTATCAGACAAAAAGATAAAGTCCTATTACTATAAATTTTCTAGGCCATTCAGATTTAAGTATAAATATGTACTCCCAATATTCACAGCAACAGAATCAAGTACTGATGCAAGTGCCTCACCTGTATACTCAGGAGGACGTAGAAACTGAGGCCAAAAGCCAAAAGTAGAAAGACAAACACGACTGTAGACCTCAACAGAGTTTTCATAATTACCTCCAACATAACGATGAAAATTCCACAATTTTCAAATCTAGGCATATTTAAAAATTATATATTCACTTTTCTGGCCAAACTGTATTTCATTCAATGTCTATATTTATCATGCATTAGGTACTAGGTTTCACAGGTGAGTCACGCTTTCAAAAAGGAGACAGAATTCATGAATAGTCATCTTACTTTCAAACTGTTCACTAAACAGCTTTGCTGCTTCTTCCTTCTTGTTAACGTTGACCTTTGTCCTACAACTCGACCACTAGGCATTACTTCACACAAAGGAGGAGAGAAAAATCTTCCCAGTATCAAAGAAAGTGCTACCAAAGCTTGATAAATGGATCTGAGAGGTGAGATGGGTGATGCAGCCAGTGGAGACCCTACATGAGCTCATGTACCTGAAGGGCGCCTGCGTATGGTTTATTCACCATCCTCATGACCTCCTGAGGGTTCTTTTTTCTTTCCCAGTAACCAACATTGTGAAATGTTTGGGTAGATAATGGGTGTGCCATCCAGCCACCAATGTGGACATTTCCTTTGGCAAAGACAACTTGTTAAAAGGGGAATCACAAGAGTTTAAAGCTCCAAAGGACTTCAGAGGTCTCAGAAACTTAGCTCCCAAGAGTTGTCTAGTAAGTTGGTAAGGTCACTGATGACAAAGCCAAAGGAATGACAGTACCTAGACTTGCCCTGAAGCCTCTTGATGTCCAGACCACTGCTCTTCCCACTATACCATGTCCTTTTAAAGGAGCTGGCTTCAAGCCTCCAGCATTGTGTGCATGACATACAGAAAATATGGTAGGGAAAGCATTGTCCCTGGGGTTGGAAAGACGGGTAAAAGTGCTTACATCTTGACTTACTAGTTGAGATCCTGGGAAAGTTACTTAGCCCTTCATCTTCTTTTATATACCACAAGCGATTACAAGTTATCTTTACAATAACTAGAGGTAAATGTTAAGATATGTGAAATAACAAGTATGGGAGGTAGGAGAGCTTTGCCCTTTGTTCCCCCTCTAGAATTAGATTCTTTAAACTTATTTTCTTCTCCTAAATCGCTATTATTCCCCATACCTATCACTTTATTTTGATTGTTTTAATCTAAAGTAAATGCTTAGCAAATAATACCAAGTAAAACCAAGAATAGCCAATACTTTTATTCCCATTTACTCCCCCCATTTAATCTAGATTTGTCTTGACCTGGAGTAATGTTGCCACTCAGAAGATATTTGGCAATATCTGGATACACTTTTTGTTGTCACATGGTGGGGAGGGGGGTTCTACTGGTCATCTAGTGGATAGAGGCCAGGGATGCTGTTAAACATTTTACAATGCACAGGACAGCCCCCCACAACAAAAAATTATCTGGCCCCAAATTTCAGTAGTGCCAAGGTTGAAAAATCCTGGTCTATACTCTGAACTCCAAACCTCCCTCCCCTTTTCCTTAATACATATTAAAGTACCTCCACAGTCTAAAACAATTGGAAAAGGAATAAGCCAATTATAAATATGGTACTTAAAACAGTTATTCTTTTAATATTAAAAATGTCTAAGGGATACAGAAATCATTCAAGCTGGCTTTACCTTTGGAGATACAGTAAGAAGTTCATCCAGTAGAAGTATATAGCAATCGCTCCACATTGCCACTGCACATAAGCTGGTATACCAATGAATAAGGGTGACACAAAAATGATACTTGTTGTGTAGATAATCCATTCAGCTCCATTGGCATTATCCAAGATGTAATTCCTTTTCTGGGGTTAAAAAGAATTCAGAATTACCACATGTAGAGACCAGGACCTAGCATCTTATGGATGATTTTATATATATGTATATATATACACGTGCATATATATATAAATACATGTGTATATATATATATACGTGTGTGTGTATACATACATATATATATGTATATGTATATATATAATGTTGACCAGTAGCAACAACTGTCTGGCATTGCAGCTGGACAGGTTTAGGACCAAGGAGCCAGCTTCTGCCATCCTGGACTACACTCAGCCCTGGGTATGGACCAGTGTTGAAGGTGGCCCAATCTCTTCTGTTGAATTGGCACTTTGGGAATCTGATGCCTAAGTAAATTCTACAACTTTGTGGGCTTTCTCTGAGTCCATTCCTTCTTAAGGAAAGTCCTGGGGAGCTGCAGGTTGGTTTAGTGATTCCTTTATGCCTGTGTAAGGACATGCATATAGATTTCTCAGGATACAAATGAACTAAAGCTTCTTCTAAGGAGGTTTGAGACCTATGCTAAGACTTAATTGCCGTAACAATTTGATGTCATTTCCTATCATTAAAAATTTCAAGTTTTGGACATCAAATTTTCTATAGAGGTGACAATTTCAGTATCAATTAAAAAATGTGGAAACCAAGTCTGTTAGAGAAATCATAACTTTATAGTTCAATTTAGAGTATAATCTATAAAAAATGAGAATTATGATGAGATTAAATAATATGCCCTAAATCATTCAAACTACAATGGAACAATACAGTCTAACTCTCAGAATTGTGACAATCTACTGAAACTATATACAGACACACACACTTGCAAATATATAGTACCAAACAAATGCAAAGCATTGTAATGGTCATTGACATTCTTTAAGGCAGGTATCAATGTGCTTATATAAAAGTAAATTTTCACATAAAATGAGGTACTTATAAAAGTTACATATCTTATAAAAATAACATTCACAAAAATACAAAAAAATGAATAATAAAAGACTTTAAATAAAAGATTGATGCCATTTATTAACCAAAGCAAGGACCTGTAGATAATTCACATAATTCTTGAGTCTGATCTGAACTTGGTTCATCCATTTAAATGTATGAAGTAAAAATTATGCTATAAAAAGTTCCCAAATTTTTATTATAACTTGAGAATTTTATCCAGTAAAGAAAATCATTCTTATTAAGAAAGGAATTAAAAGACCCATTTGAAATGGAACCATGGGCCAAGTAAGTTCTTTATAAATAGTTATATTCAAACGTACCTAATTCAAAATCCAGCTATCATGTTAGCAAAATATCAAACTGATAGAGAAAATACAGAAAAGTCATTCATAAGTTCATTTGTAGACAGACTCACACAGACTAGTAGAACTAGAACATCTCTACTTCAGATTTATCAAATAGGCACCATCTGATGCAAGAATCTTGTCTAAAATCATGTGATTTCTACGTTTGAAAAGTTTATGTTTGGTACTGCCAATCTATACATTGGTCAAGTTATGTGATTTTATTCTGACATATATTGTTCAATAATAATTTAGCAATTTATGTTCTTCATATTAAAATATTTGCAACTTTAGAGATATAAAATGTATCACGTACCTGTTGGAAAATTTGGACCACTTCTTTGCAATATCCAAATATACTTGATAAAAAAACTAAAATCATGCAAACTTTTATAGAATAGGAATTCTGAAACAAAAATGTGTAAAACACAGTTATGAAAGATAGCAAATAAAACACTTTTGCTTTTGCATAATTTCCACTATTTTATTTTCTTCTGCTTCATTTCTATGTACCGTTATATTTGCTTTAAACAGAAAATTACTGTGATACCAATATAAAGACACATACTCATTTCATAATGTCCTAAGAGGTTCAAAAATCACCAAATGAACTCTAAAAGAGTATGAATCTGTAGACCTATGTAAAATTTGTTTTACTATGGTAAAATACACATAACATAAAATTTACCATTTTAAAAGTTTTACATTTTACACGTACATTTACATTTCAAAATGTATAATTCTGTGGCATGAAGTACATTTACTATATTATGCAACCATCGCCACCATCTATCATCATCTAGCTCTATAACTTTTTTTCTATCACTCCCAAACAGAAGCCATGCATCCGCTAAGAATGACCCCCTCTTCCTAAAATCCCAGACAGCCATAAATCTGCTTTATTGTAGACATATTTTAAAGTAGTATATACTTCAGTATTAAAGCTACTCTCTCATATGTCAATTCCTTTAAATTAATTTACAAACTCATTTATTGACCAAATTATTTATATTCCCTCTCATTTCACAAAAGATCTTAGGAAAAATTGTTCACATATGAATCATACAGTCCATAATAATAAAAGCCTTAATATTTCAGATTTACTATGAGGTTAGCATTTCTGAGGAAAAAAACACACTTGTAATAATCTTTTATTTTAAAAATTTGAAATATGACCAATCAAAAATACCTTGGTGTCTAATATTTCTGAATGATCACTAGTTTCATTGATGATTCCAGTTGAGTTGAAAGCCATACCTGGCTTTATACTGACAACAAGAAAGGTCATAGGCAGGAGACCAAGACAGTAAGATCCTAGGTTCATCATATGGGCTCTAAACCCATAAGCCAACCTACAAAAATAAATCACAATCTCAACAAAAAATATTTACTTAAGATAGCCTGTGGAAAAGGTAGTTATAATCGCTCTCAGAAATCTATTTGGTAAATTCATTGAACTTTAGAACCAAGATCTTCAAATTCACCTTTTTTCATTTTCAGAAAAGAATCTCAACTTCCCAGGAAATCATGACTTACTTAAAATATCTCACCAAGTAACGGAAGAACAGAGACTTTAGCTCATATTTTCTGACTTCCATGTTGATTGCTCTTCCCAGGTACCCCTCTCACTTCACTGTCCGCTAAACTGCAAGGCCCGGGAATGCTGCTTCATATCTCACACAAGGGTTTCTACCTCCTAAATATTTCATTTAATGTCAAAAATAAACAATATCAGCATTCTTAATACCAAAACATTTGCCTTTGACACATTTCTTTTTCAAAGTGTAACACATTAATATAATAAAGTCCAGGGGCATCTGGGTAGCTCAGTTGGTTAGGTGTCCAACCCTTGGTTTTGGCTCACATCATGATCTCACATCACATCACGGTTCACAGGTTTGAGCCCCGTGTAGGACTCTGCTCTGACAGTGCGGACAGGGGATTCCCCCCTGCCCCACATCACTCTCTCTCAAAATAAATCAATAAACTTAAAAAAATCAAAAACATATTATTTAAGAGACTTTAAATTATTAAAAAGAAATACTACTTGGAGCACCTGGATGGCTCAGGTGATTAAGTATCTCACTGTTGATTTTAGATCACGTCATGATCGCATGGTTCCTGGGTTCAAGCCCCACATCAGGCTCCATGCTGACAGTGCAGAGCCTGCTTGGGTTTTTCTCTATGCCTCTCCCCTACTTGCTTGCTCACTCTCTCTTTCAAAAATAAACTTAAAAAAAATACATACATACATACATACATACTGCTTAATACCCACCATTTCATAAGTAAATATTCTTTACATACAGGATGATTGAGAAGCTCTATGCGGTTATGTTGTACCATTGCCTGAGAATAATAAAAATAAATCATATTAAACTATTAAGTACAAACTAAGTTTTTTGTTTGCTGGTTTTATAACTTTAATATTATAAAAGTAACACTTCATGAAAATTTGAAAGATCAAAAATTATATCAGGAATGTATTTTTAAAAAACCACAAGCTAGAACCATTTTATATAAATGCACTTACTTGATTCATTTTGTCTCTTTCAATTTCTTACCAGTTGAGATAGAATAAGCACTTTAATCTTACATAAAGTTACAACTGGAAAGGATATTAAAAATAAACGAGCAAGAGCTACACTCATTCTTTCCTTGAAGAAACTCAGGCTTATCTCTCTAGAAGGATTTTAAACAGTAGAGTACACATAGTCATTAAATTAGCTTGTGGATTAAGTTTTCATCAATCATTGGGAACTACTAGTATCTATTTTAAAAACAATTTTTAATTATTCAAGAAATACACAGAGGAAGTGACATCAGCAAGATGGTGGAATAGGAAGTCCTGGACCATCTATGCCCATGGAGACAAGACATATCGCAACTTAACAATACCTGGACCAATTGCCTTTGTGAGAAATACAGAAACCAGTTAAGAGGTTCCTGTACCCCAAGTGAACCTGTAGCCAAGAAGAACCACATCAAAAACAGTAGGAATATTCATGGCATTTACTTGCCATAGCCCCTCTCCCAGCATAGAACAATGAGATCAAGAGAAAATCCCCAACTCCTGGCTTCCACCTGAAGAGGAAAGCGATATGTGGAATGTTCTAATTGTTCAGGGAGTGGCCCAAGGGACTGGTTTCTGTCTTGCCTGAATCTAAGCACTGACAGGTCCATCCAGTCTCTCAGACTTCTGTGCACAATAATTTCCTATCGCAGACCAGCTCTCCTTCCAGAAGAACCCCACTCAGCTCAGATATAATGAGAGATTTGTTATGTTATTAAGGCATTATTCAATTATGCCAAAAGTCAACCACTAAGTGAGGTGTATTTATTCAAGCAAACCTGTGTCATATAAATTATTCTGAGTCTATAGTATACAAAGCCTATTTCCTCTTAGAAGCTACAAAGTTTTATTTCCTCCTTATTCTGCTGGTGGAAACAAACTCTGGTAGAAGTATTGCCTGTTCTTCAAATTATAATTTAAAAACCTCCACATACACACACAAAAATTCTAAGTAGAGCTATAGTATAGTTACTTTTAGGTGACTTTGTTATTCAGTCTGAACTAAAATAACAACTACAAAACATGACATACTCCAGCAGAGCTAAAATGTTTTGCATAGAGCCAGTGTGAGGTTAGTTTCCACTGTCAACCTTGTGGGCATAAAATCCATAGGACTCTGCATCCCTCCCACTCCAAGTACTCAGTAAGCCTTCTAGATATCACTTAAGGTCATGGTTGGTACCATGGTCTCTGTCAAAGGCTCCCGTATAGAGAAATGAATTCATTTAAAGTGAATAAAAATTCCCAATTGGTCTAGACCAGTGCTGTCCAATAGAACTTTCTTCAATGATGGAAATGTCCTATATTTGTGCTGTTCAATATGAGAGCCACAAGGCACATAGTCTACTGAGCGCTTGCAATGTGGGTACTGCAAATGAATAAATAAACCTTGAATTTTAAGTAGTCACACATGGCTAGCGTTTACTATATTAGACAACACAGATCTAGACCCTAGACCGCAATTTGGAAATCACTTTCAAATAGGTTTTCTTGGGGCGCCTGGGTGGCGCAGTCGGTTAAGCGTCCGACTTCAGCCAGGTCACGATCTTGCGGTCCGTGAGTTCGAGCCCCGCGTCAGGCTCTGGGCTGATGGCTCAGAGCCTGGAGCCTGTTTCCGATTCTCTGTCTCCCTCTCTCTCTGACCCTCCCCTGTTCATGCTCTGTCTCTCCCTGTCCCAAAAATAAATAAACGTTGAAAAAAAAAAATCAAATAGGTTTTCTTTTGCTTGCAACAGGGTTAATTTGTTGCCAGTGTGTACAGGGCTGGGCCGCCATTCCCACATGGCACCAATCTGTTGATGCTGCTAGCTGCTCTCCCTTTAGACGAGGAGCCCACTCATCAGTTACGTCTTTCCTCTGCAGTTATGTATTTGAGTTGGAGACCCCTGATTTAGACTGCAGTGGATCATCTTGCATGGCTTTTATTGTCCCATCTGCTAGAAATGTAAAATCCACTTTGGAGTAAGAGCTGGTTTGGTCTTAAGTCTCTCGGGCAATTTGAGTCCATACTGTGCATGTTAGGCCTGCTTTTAGATTGGGATCACTCCTCCAGAAGGATCAAAGAGCTTCTGAAAGGTCAGAGTTTACCGTGGAGCCCCTTAGATTGAACTTAGAATCTGTGATTGCAAAATGTCGCCCCTACATTTTCCTGTGGCTTGCATGGAGAAAACTCTTAAATATATAGGTCTATATTTAGATGGATGGAGTCAGGGAGTAAGCACTGACTGTCAGCCTATGTTGTCCATGGTTTATTGGATTTTGAATGAGGCAGGTTTGACATGACCATTAGAACTAAAGTGATTAAGAGTGTAGAACTTTAAGGGGACTAAAGTAAAGGATCCGTGGAAAATGACTGCTTTCTTCACTAAAAAGTAAAGGGTTAGGACACATGGCAGAGAGAGACATCAAACTGTAAATGTGGAATTCTCTCCAGGCCCCTCCCTGGAAACATACCAAAACACAGAACCCATGTAGAAACTACCTAGATAGTGAAAACACTGGACTTACGTTGAGGGTTGTAAGAGGCTCATATGTAACATCCTGTGCAGGTGTTACTTTCTTGGTAAATTCTAATGGACACTGAAGATACCTGAAATTATACTCAATCTGTAGAAGACACAATTTTTAAAACATTAACAATCTAGTATACACCCCAAAGCAGGTCTTGACAAATCAAATACGTAAGTCTACCATTCTTCTGAAAATTAAATATTTCAAATAAAATTGAGCCATTTTGTCTGAAGAAATGTAGATTGTTATTTCATCTTAATTAAAAAAAATATCCTGAAAGGCTGTTACGTAACCTTCTATAACCCACAGTCGTGGAAGAAGATGAATTCTCAAAAGATCACTCAGATCTTTGGAATTTCATTCTTCAGGTTAGTACTACCCAAAAAAATACAAAGACTAGAAACAACCCTAAATAATGCTATTAGAAACAATTAAAATATTGGGGGGAAACCAAGGAAAAATTCACAAGCAGAGGATATAATCATATGACAAATGAAGACAGTAATTACCATCTTCCGAGACTGTGGAACTCTAGTAACATTGTTTTTAGTATTCATTAAAGAATTATAATAAACTTTCAATGACCATGATAAAACAAACTTACATAATAGTCTTGGCAGGACTTGTCTCTTTTGGAGGGCATCATGCAACAATCTAAAAGGACCTTTAAGACAGAAAACATGGCTACGACATTGGTCAGAAAACGAAATGAGAGATGGGATTTGATCCCATTTCAAAAATTATACCCAAGACACTCCCCTCTCCCTTTCCTTTATTTCTGGTACTTCAAAGATAAACTATAATCCATGTCATTCAGGAACAAAGTTTAAAATATAAAGTTTTCAACTAGTACCACATGCCTCAGAAATACCTAGTGATTCTGAAAAATATGCCTAAGAATGAAATCACATTTACTAAAATTTGAGTCAAAAGTATTTTGTGAGTTTTACCCAAGAGTTGATGTCCTTCTGGCCTTCTACAGAATATATAGCTTATAAAGGGTTCCTTTGCTCCACCTATATCTCATCTTCTATACTGCTCCAGCATGGAGTGCTGTGTTGGTTTCTGTCCACACTCGCTGAACAACACTGACAAAGTATTTGCCCAGAGCAGCATGAACAGCATACTGAAGGACAGAGGTTAAATGAAGAAATATTGAACGCCCTTCAGGTGCTTGAGAAAAGGGGAGAACACTTAAGGGATCATTACAGCTACCTCTAGGACATGTAGGGAGAAATATTTTTGTGGGGCCCCTGTTAACATAAACTATTTCAGTCACCCCCAATCTGTGTGCTGGCACCTTTCTGGTGCCCAAATTCATCATCCCAAGAAAGGAATACTGCCCAGTCAGATTGTTCTCCTGGAGAAGAATCTGGACACAAAAAGCTCCAGATGATTCCACCAGTATGTCCTCCAAAACTCCTGGGGCATCTGGTCAACCCCACCTGCAAGAAGCAAGGGTAGAGGACTGGACAGCACCCCTTCATGAAGGAGAGAAACAGGGACCCAGGCCCCATTGGGAGGGCACCCCTGTCCTGCTGGTAGTCTCAAACACCCGGAGGGACTTAAAAAATTTTCAGTCTCCGGGCACCTGGGTGGCTCAGTCGGTTAAGTGGCCGACTTTGGCTCAGGTCATGATCTCGCAGTCCGTGAGTTCGAGCCCTGCGTCGGGCTCTGTGCTGACAGCTCAGAGCCTGGAGCCTGTTTCAGATTCTGTGTCTCCCTCTCTCTCTGCCCCTCCCCCATTCATGCTCTGTCTCTCTCTGTCTCAAAAATAAATAAACATTAAAAAAAAAAATTTCAGTCTCTGTTGGTGACCAGGCAGTGATACTAAGGATCATAAAAAGCACCCTAAGAAATAAGGACAAAACTAGTCAGTAGTGCTGTGCAAGGCAGAACCAGAGAAGCAGGTCTGAGACTGTTTGAGACCTTTTTAATTAATAATCAGCATAAGCTACAGAAAGGAAGGTGGAAACATGGGGAGGGACTATGTAAATTACTCAAGTGTATGATGTGAGGCTAAACTAAAAGTTATTTAAGGACAAATTCACAATACTAAAATGCAAGCAAATTATTGAAAATAAACTAGAAAATATATAATCATGTAAAGAAAAGAAAAACTAATCATAATCCCACAATTGTGGTAATTCTTATTAACATTTTGGTGTAATCTTTTAAGTTCCTTTCCATGTTTTCCATATGTATTTCTAACATATTTTGTTTACTGTTATTAATGCTACATAAAACATTACTATATGTAAATCTGTATCTCTGTTCATTAGGACAGATTCCAAAAACTAGAATTATTGAGTAAGAAATTCTGAGATCATTTTCAATCCTGAATATTTATGTTCCCTTTGATGAATTTAAGTACTTGAAATGCTAACCTATGAACTGGACGGGCTCCAATTTCTATTGGATATTATAAAGAAAAAAATGCATGTGAAGTACTTAGCACATACTAAGTGCTTACTGACAAGTAAAAACAGTTAAGTGTGAGTAGCTGTAGTACTAATAACCAACCACACAAGCAGTATAAGAGTAGGTTGTACAAGGTATGACAAGCACCCTCCTGAATACTTCATATATCTTGCCTCTACTTTTTGTAATCACTTTGTAAGATCAGTATCAGTGTCACTTGTTTGGAGATGAAGCAGAAAATGAAGTTCAGGGAAGAAATGACTCACCTAAAGCAGTAGCAAGAGCCAGGACCAAAACCCAGGACCATCAGGCTCTAATTTTGTCCCTGTGCCCCTGTCTTACTATGTCTCACTGCCTCCTCCATATTTGAATATATTTTCCCTCTGAATGACAGCCAAAGGCATCTTTTTTTTTTTTTTTTTTTTTTTTTTTTGATTATTCTTTGTCCCAGTCTTCAAATATCAACCTTCTCAGGAGGTTTTTACCTGCATCCTTAAACACGCACATGCTCAACAGTTCATGGGTGTTTCTCTTGTAGTGAAAGTCCAGTTACATGCTGGGTATATGTTCAATCCAGCACAGAGAATCACACACTTGGAGGCCCACAGAAGCCAGGGGGTAGTGTAAATGAATGAACTGTGCCAGCATTAAGAGCTCTTTCCACTGTTTTTGAAATGTTGTCTCTCCTTGGGCTGGTTTCTGTCTTTACAATTTGGGTAAATTCATACATAGAGAAATATCTCTCAACTACAAGGAGAGCAGCTGCACCAAAATGACAATACACGGCAATGAACGGTAGGCATTAGACTGAGTATACAAAAGGAAGAGGTGGGACTCGCAGGCCAATGGTGGAGAAGTAGGGGGACCCGAAGTTCCCTCGTCCCTCAAACACAGAAGTGTTGAGGCCAAAGGACTTTGAATTCCAAGAGTATGGGCTGCAGAGGGACAGAGACGTCCCTAAGGACCCACCAGGACAAGCTGGTGGGCCATAGGTATATGACTGTGGGAGAGAGAAAACAGGCTGCGTAGGCAAGGTGGGGAGGGATCCCCTTCTGCGGAGAGACAAAGGGAAGAGAAAGAGAAGCTGGGGAAGCATAGGACTGTATCTGGATGAGAGGAAAACCATGGAACAGGATGGAGAAAGATCCAATCTCTAACCTCTTTGACCTCAGCCACAGCAATTTCTTGCTTGACATATTTCCAAAGGTAAGGGAATTAGAAGCAAAAATGAATTACTGGGACCTCATCAAGATAAAAAGCTGCTTCACTGCAAAGGAAATAATCAACAAAACTAAAAGGCAACTGACAGAATGGGAAAAGATATTTGCAAATGACATATCAGATAAAGGGTTAGTATCCAAAATCTATAAAGAACTCACCAAACTCCACACCCGAAAAACAAATAACCCAGTGAAAAAATGGGCAGAAAACATGAATAGACACTTCTCTAAAGAAAA